TAAAATTAAAGAATCTTACCTGAGTACCAGGCTATTATATGTCACTCCAGCCTATTGATGAGGTCTGTTTCTAATAAGTGGGTTTTCCCAACATCTACCCTAGCACAGAGAGTGAGGGTTTAAGGCTTTTTAGTTAGAGCCTTATGCAAGGAGATTGTCCATGGATTACAAGTTCCAATGGGAAATTAAGAAAAGGTCATATTAGTCATAGAAGCGCATTTAATATCACCTTATACATAAAGTAAATGTATGAGTTACTCTTGGACAAAGATAGTTTAACTTTCCCTTTTAGAGATAGGTAATGTCTAACATCACATTGTAGAGGAAGGAAAGGCCTGAGGATCCCTCTGACCCATGTATAGATGGAAAATGGCTTATTTCAAAAAAGTGTATGTCAAATCTTTTTTAGAGTTCTGTAACCCCTTTCTAGTTTCTGACTAGCTTGCGCAAGGGAATATTTCTGAAACTCTTTATTCAGAGGAGAAAAGGGTCTAGCCACATTTTTCAGATGTGGAGATGCAATTCACATTTTGCAGCAGGTGAAACCCTAGTTGACCTTGGTTAGTGGGAGAAGATTTGGGATGTACCTCATTAAGTCCTCAATGTGCCACCCAGTTACAGATATGCATACCATGAAAAAATCTTTGAGAGTGCAGAAAGAAATTGGAATTTTCTTCCAGAAGGATGGTGCTCTCTGAGCAGTGATGCTTCCCCAAGAATTTGTATGGTTCTATGGATGAAACAGAAAATTTTCATGTACATTTACTACCTTCTAGGCTGATGAATACAATTCTCTTTTAAACTCTATATCATCTTCCCTGTTACATAGACCAGGATGTTGTGTGACCCCATCTGGAGCAGACTTTGATGTGGCTGACTCAGTCTGATGGGGAGACTCTCATATGCAATGGTAAGTCAGCATACAAAGCAAGGTTAGCTAAATACATCAGAGGTGTAGAACTGAAGTGTCTTTGAAGAGATGAGCATCTGAACCACCTCCATGATTGTAAGGAACACTTTGGAGTTTCACTTATCAGAGAATTATGCACAAACTGCCAAAGAAAATGTAGAATATCTCTAGCCCTCTTATTTGTAAGTGACATTATAGGTTCCCTAACCTCTGTGCAGTCTGGAAACATCCAGTATTTTTTCTACAGAGAAAGTGAATATAAGGCACCCTTCATCTCAGTCCCTGATACTGAGTAGGAAAATGATTTTGACCCAATTGTAAGAATGGACAAATGGGAGTGTCATGTAAAATGAAATAAAAATATCAAAATATTTGGGAAAAAGGACAAAAGTCAGAAACAGCCTTTGTTCTAAGTGATGGATCTGACATTATATCTAAATGGGAGAAGGAATTAGCTAATCATGGAATCATGGAGTACTTGACTCCTCCTATGAAAGAAAAACTATGAGGATCTCTTGAACAAACTGAATATCAGAATCCCCTTGGTCCATGTTGGGAAGAGTCACACTTCCCTGTCTTAAAAGAGATCATCAGTGGAGGGATATCCCATCATGGCTCATCAGCTTCTGGAAATATTCATGCAGATGTTAGTATTTCATTAATTTGTCTTTGATCTGTGGAGACTAGCTAGCATTCAAAAGCTGTTTGTCACAGCAGGAATCACGTTACTGGCAAGTTTGTCTCATCAATACTGTGTTTTGATCTCAGATATGGGCATGAATTGTGGATTCTATCAATGTCTGGTGACTGGCTTGAAGGTAGATGGCCTGCATTCTAGATTCTGTTTGCAAACATTGGGATCTGGGATACCCAGCTTGGATATTCTTTGGAAAGGGAGTCTCTCAAAGATCCACATTAGAAAGATGATCAGAAAGCCATAAAGAAAAGGCTGAAGGGATCATGACTCACAGAACATGTCGGGCATAATAGAGAAGAAAGGGGTTATCCCAGAATACCTCAGGGCAATAAATAAATAAATAAATAAATAAATAAATAAATAAATAAATAAATAAATAAATAAATAAAGATCCCAGACTATCTTATGAAGGGTGGGATGAT